CGATTGGATCTCTAGTTGATATAGCTCATGACCTTTCCCTTTTAGGGTAGTTTGGTAGCATGAACGTGCATGCTCTTGTTCTCCCTTGATCTCTTTGACTCCCCATGGAGTAGGAAATTTTATGGTTTGATGGAGTGTCGATGGCACTGCCCCCATGTCATGAATCCAGGGACGTCCCATAATTGCGTTGTACGCAGTAGCACAATCTAGTATCAGAAACTTTGTCTGTCGGTTAATTCCTCCTGCATACACAGGCAGCGTCACTTCTCCTATGGTCTGCTTTACTTCACCGCTAAATCCTACCAGTGGTGTGGATTTTCGCGTCAGTGCATTCTCATCCAGCCCTAATCCTTTGTAAGCATCCATGAAGAGAATGTTGGTCGAACTCCCATTATCAACGAGTGTCCTTTTCATCAGACTATTAGCATTGTCAAAGATATGACTAATGCATCATGATGTGGAGCTAGGACACACTTATCTTCATCTGAAGCAAAGCTAATCGTGCACTTCGACAGTCGCTCGCATATAGCTTTGACATCTCCATGATGAGTTCTAGCTATTCTAGTACTCTTTTTAGCAGCAGAATGAGTAATTCCACTAACCTGTGATCCTCCCGATATCACGTTGATGATTCGATCATGCTCCGGAGATTGAGCAGGAGATGGTTTTCTTTGCACCTCGTCATTGCTTCTGTCGTCGATGCGACTCCTAGCCCTGTCGGACAAGTATTCTCTCAAGTGACCTTTTTTTAGTAGCTCGTTTACTTCCATTCTCAACGTGATGCAATCTTCTGTTCGATGACCATGGTCAGAGTGAAAGTCGCACCACTTTGATGTGTCTCTTCGTTCCCCTGGTGCTTTCATCTTTTGAGGCCATCTTACTCCAGATATATGATTAAGAACATTGACTAGTTCTGCAGGAGATATTGCGAGGTTACTCATGTCTGGCCATGTGGATGATGAGCGTTGGTCGCTCTCAATTTGGTTGAGTGGTCGATGGTCGCTTCTGCTGTCGCTTCTCTTGCTAGTGCTTTCACTGCGTGGTCTCTGGTACGGTCTGTCATCTCGAGAGGGACGCTCGTTCCTAACAACACGCGAATCAGATCGTGGGGAAAGTAGGTGTCGATATGCAGGGTCTTCCTCCCACCTTATTTGAGCCCATGCTCTAGATAGCACATCTTCCATCGTTCTGCACTGGTACTTCGTCAGTTCCTTGTACAAATCACTGTCTGGGAGCAATCCTCTTTTGAATGCAGAGATGGCAGTGGACGTGACACATGCCGGAATGGATACTTTCTCTTTGTTGAAGCGACCTACGTAATCGCGCAACGGTTCTCCTCTCTTCTGTATCACTTCATAGAGATCGTCGGCTGTCCTTTCTATGTTCCTGCTGCTCGCGAATTGCTCAACAAAGCGGTCTGTCAATGACGCGAACGAGTCGATTGACGCGTTCGGTAGGTTCGTAAACCACTGAAGAGCTGGTCCCGTGAGGCTAGATCCAAATCCTTTACACATACTAGCTTCGCGATATTCTTTTGCTATTGCCGTTGTGAACATGCGTTGCTTGTACTGGGCTATATGATTATCAGGGTCGGTCGTCCCGTCGTACATCTTCATTGAAGGGACGATGAACTTCTTTGGCATCTCAACCAAAGCGATGGCATCCGTGAAGGGAGTGTCTGCATAGCAATTAGGAGCACTTTTGGTGATTGGAGGAGCTACTCCTGGAAGTCGCGCGAGCAAGAGCTCCATAGCCTCCAATCGCTTTGAGAACATAGTATGCGAGTCTTCAGATTGATGTTCCATCGTTGGTGCAAGGGGTGGAACCAATGTTTGGTTACCTTGCGCAGCGTCGGTAGCTCCTGTTCCTAGGGCTGCTCCTGTTGCACCCGTAAGTGGTGGAGTGTCGAACGATTGCATAGGAGGGATCTCGATATCTATTGCGAGCCTGAGTCAATGACGCGTTTTCTGCTCGTAGGGTTGCGTTCTCCGCCTGGATTTGCGCAAGTCGTTCTTCGTTCTGCTTCATCTGAGCTGTGAGAGCCTCCAGCTGAGCAACGGTGACGGTCGGTGTTTCGGTCGGTGCGGTATCATCTCCCGCCGCCATGTCTCACGCAGTTAAAATTGCCCCTCCTTCTAGCGCCAAACTGTTTGGGCAAAATTTAACCGGTTCGCAAGTACAATAAACGGAATGACGCAGGAGAAGATATCTTATTAATCAATTGAATATCGAGCTACAACAAGTCAATATCAAAGATTAAACTAAGAGAATCTCGTCTGTCGCTCGTCGTAGATCGTAGTTCGTCGTATCTAGGTTGTTCGTCGCTTGCTCGTCGAGAGGCGAAGAACAAGTAGCTATTAGGGTTTTTGTGTGTTTTTCTGAATGTCCCCTTGTCCTTGTTATGGGACCTCTTATTTATAGGTGCTTGTCGATCCTAATCCTTGTTGAGTTGGGCTTTGACGTCGTCGTAATATTCCATTTCCTACGTCGGTCGTCATTCCTAATTTCCTTTTAATTAGATATGCACGTCGGTTCTCTGCACAACTCTAATAGATTTAGGAAATTGTACAAACCATCGGTCATTGCTAAACCATTAATTAACATCGTTGGTCGCTGCCTCGTCATGTCGATGCTAAGGCCTTTTAGACACTAAGAAGTAAGATCGACCGGTGGTCATCATGGTCGTCAGTCGATCATATCTCCAGCTTGTAATAGAGTTTAAGGAGCGACCGGCTAGTGAATTTATTTCACCCAACACATAGCAAAGATTCCTCCAACGATTCGAGAGATTATTGAATGTGTCAAAATCAGTCCTCTCTTGAAGCGGTGGAAAAATCTCTACTATGTAACCAAAATATTGATTTCAAGGAATTTGAGTACGTGATTTACCGGTTTTTCTCTAAGAGGATTGCTAGAGATTCGTTTTTTTCTATATATAGCAGAAACTTTATAAATTAATAAGCACGATAAATTAATAAATTTTCCCGATCCACAATTCGATAAAATAATAAGATAATATTTTTTCTAAAACTTCTATGTAAACTACGGTCCCAATAATATCATAAATTAATAATTATCATATAAAAACTGAAAACTGTGAGAGTGAGAGGTTACTAAAATATAAACCTCTCACACACCAAACAGATATGCAAATTAAAAAGAGAAGAATTTTTAAAAATATGGCAAGTATGAAAAAAAATATAAACAATAAATATTGAAACACCAAACTTTTTTAAGAAAATCTATTCTATAAAGAAAAGTTCTTATTTAATTTCAACGAAATTTTAAAAGATTATCAATATTGAATTTTCTTTTTCTGAAAAATAATTTTTAGTCAAAATCTATATATTAATAACTCTATAAATTAATAAAATATCAAAATCCCGACATTATTAATTTATAGAGTTTCTAATGTATGTAAATGGATCAATTGATTTTAAGATAAATTCACCTAAAGTTTTAATATTTTTTCTCCAATCCAGTGGGAAACTAGAAAAATATCAATTAGCTTGATCGATTTTGCAGTCTCCAGAAAAGTGAGAAAGTTTGTTCTCGATTTCTCAAACTCGACTTAGGGAAAATACTCATGGTGCATTGTGTGTTATTACAGAAAATATCATGGTGCATTAAATAACATATTGTTTTTATGTTGATGTGGATGCCACATATATAACATATTACTTTTATATAAAAATAAAGAAAAGTAAAATTTAAAGAAAAAATATTTGTGTTTAAAAATAAAATATACTTTTGAATAAAACTAAACAAAAAACTATTAAAACAATAAATAATTTTTTTATAACAGCTTTCAACCAGATTTATAGAACCAAAATAATCAGATCGGTTTCACATGTAACTCGGGTTGGAGCCATGTCTACTACACTGGAAAAGTGAGAATGTTGGGTTTGACTGTTTGAGCATAGTGGAACACAGTTAGAAGCTCTACCAGGATCAGAGAGTATTGTGGCGATGTTATAACTTTGTTCATCGAGTTTAAGCAAGAATAAGAAACATATTAGATAAAAGTGTGGTGATACTGCGCTAGTACCGCCACACTATCGATAGTATAACATATTAAAGATTTTTTTTTTCAATTTTTTTTTTTTTTTGATAACTCAGAAGTAAATCTTAGGTTTATGGACAGGCTCAGACTAATCCTCTGGGGAGGTGCAGCCCACGGATAGACTTTTTCTCCGGATATTCAAATGAGTCGTAAGCAGGGGTCCATATCCGTATAAGTGTCTAGAGACAATCGTAAAGAAGTTCCCTCAGAGTTTGAACTCATAACCTGGGTGCAAGAAGAAGCATGTTCTTATCATTGGGCCACGATGCTCAGCAAAAACTAGCTGATGTATCGGGAAAATGTATGATTTCACTTCAAAAAAAAAGTGTATGATATATAGAAAATTTAACGTTTGGACATTTATTTTCATGGTGTTATATTTTATGTATAAATTGAAGATACGATGATATTAACTACAGTAGAATCTCTATAAAGTAATACTCGATAAAGTAATACCTCGATAAATGAATAGAATTTTCAAGTCACGAATTAAGTTTTTAGTCTAATTATCTCTCGATAAATTAATAATCTCGCTAAAGTAATAAAATATTATCGTTCCAACGTTATTATAGAGATTTTACTCTATTAAGGGTATTTTTCTCTCTTGTTGGCGTTGGTCTCTAAACTGAAGTTCCATGAATCAAATCAGGCTCAATCGATAACCACAATCGAAACCGATTTTTGTTTTGGTTTATTCCGGTTTAGTTTCTTTTCTCTCAATCGAATGTATGGAGTGGAGGAAGAAAAAATATGTGAAAAAGAGAGAAAAATCCAAAAAAGGGAAGAAGAAAGTGGCTGTTCGATTATCACTTAAGATGCAAGAAAAGAAGATCCTTTTATCCCCTAACTAAAAATCTCACTATAACAATCGTCCATCTTCTTTTAGGGTTTGTTCTGATTCTCTCTCATTTGGGGGATTTTCAAATCGGATCCGAAAATGATAGATTTCAGCCGAGTCCAGAAGGAGCTCCAAGATTGCGACAAGGACAAAGATGCTTCGGGTATCCGGGTCTGCCCGAAATCCGATAGCCTTACCCGGCTCACCGGAACCATCCCTGGTCCAATCGGTACTCCTTACGAAGGCGGCACTTTTCAGATCGACATCACCATTCCAGGTTCGCACCAAAATCTGATATTTGTAGGGAAATCGAAAACCCAGTTGATAGTGATGCTAAAGTTCGGGGCTTTATTTGATTTTGCTTCGTGTTGATTTAGGATTGTGAAATTTCTTCTCAATTTTGACATTTTATTATTGGTGAAATGGGTTTAGGAGTTCATATTTTTTAGGGTTTATGGGTGTTTGATTCCTAATTGTGATATGTCCGTTTATTGAATCTTCGTTTTCTGAAATTGCAGATGGGTATCCGTTTGAGCCTCCAAAGATGCAATTTTCAACCAAAGTTTGGTAAGAAGATGACTCTTGATTCTTACGTCAAATCACTTCAAACTATGTTTATCTGTAATTTTCTTATTGAGATTGAGATAAGTGAAAAAAACTTAAGCTTCAAATGTTATGGAGATTGAATCATTGTTAGGCATAGCTGTTTCATCTTCTTCATGTGGAAAATGTTTTTGGTTGTGTATCATTTACATTTTTCTTGGTTTGATAATCTCTTCTTATCTGTGGTCATACGTTTTTATCTAATACTTGTTTTAAGAATCTCTTTAACTTAAATCTGTACATACATGTTACCATTTCAAATTCGGTGATGCATTGTTTGCTAACTAAGAGTCTATCTTCGTTAAGGCATCCGAATATAAGTAGCCAAAGTGGAGCAATATGTTTGGATGTGTTGAAAGACCAGTGGAGTCCAGCTCTTACTCTGAAGACAGCTCTTGTTTCAATCCAGGCATTGCTCTCTGCACCAGAGCCCAAAGACCCTCAAGATGCTGTTGTAGCTGAACAGGTTCTTCTACATTACCTTATTCATCTTTCTTTTTTTGTTTCTTCCTCTTTTTATCAGCCACTTTGAAGCAAATCCGTTCTCTCTGATGTTTACAGTACATGAAGAACTATCAAGTGTTTGTATCAACAGCTCGTTACTGGACCGAGACATTCGCCAAGAACTCTTCTCTAGATGAAAAAGTGAGTTCATTGGCATGGCTATTTAAAGGTTTGAGTAAAAATGCAGTGTAAGATTGTGTATTTAAAAGGTTTGATTTGTGGCAGGTGAAGAGACTTGTGGAGATGGGTTTTGGAGATGCTCAGGTAAGGACTGCTCTTGAATCAAGCGGTGGAGATGAGAATGTGGCGCTTGAAAAGCTCTGTTCTGGTTAGAGTCTATAAAAAACAAGCCTCATTGGCGCTAGATATTGTATTAACTTGGTTTATATAACTTTATGTGCTGCGTTTGAATTTGCTTTTTTTTTTATGAATTACTCAATGCAATGTTTTATATCCATAAAGGAGATATCTTATCTAGTAGATCATTGAGCATGGTGTATGTCAGGGTTTGTTCATGATTATTATTCAATGTCTTTTGGTTGATAATTGGTTGGTTTATGTCGGTTTCTGTGATAAACCATCAAACCATTCCCTGATTGTTATAAACCGATCCAAAACTAAACCGAAATAATCAATACAAAAATTGAACCATATTCCGACTTGATTGTTTAAATTGTTTCTCCGTGTTTTTTTTAAGTAATCTAAACTAAATAGATAAAAGGAACCAAAAAAAAAAACGATTCGAATTTTAATTTCTAGCTTCTAATATATGAAAAGGATGCAAAACTGAAAGTAAGCAAAATCAGAAAAGCGCATACAAATTATTACTAGCGATTCGAATTTTAATTTCTAGCTTAAAACTGAAAGAAATTATATCAAACCAACAATAAGAAGCGCATACAACAAAACAGCAAATTGCAGTAAAACCAGAACAAAAAGTCACATGGCGTTTCATTCTCTAGATCAGCAAACACAAGACAAAACCAGAGATAAAAAAAATACACGTACATTGTATTTTGATAGAAGATCCTCTCCTAAAGTTCTTACTTGTGAAGTGGTAATGTTGCTTGTGTTTCTCTTGTAAACTCCAAAAAGCTTACCATTTTGTTGCGCATGTGAGATATGTGGGACTTGTTAGAAAATGGATCCATTGTATAACAAAACTCTAGAATTGGAAGCTTTAATCTTGGATCAAGAACTGCAACAATTGTAAGAATGTCACTGAACTCCTCCAAGTACTTGTCAAATTTCTCTTGCATAGGCTCCACCATTTCACGAATTATATGATCATGATCTCTCAGACATATTTTGATATTCTATACTTACATAAAATACAGGTTTGTTGTATGATACGATGAACTGAATATCAACTTTGTAATCTCATCGAATAGTTGCAAGAACTAACATATCAATTCACCTCTTTTTCACTCTAAATCTGATGACAAAGTCTTGTGACTCTTCTCCAGTTCGAAAATTATCTTTGAATTTGATTGCTCTAGAAAGCATCAGATGAGTGAAATCCATTTGGTGGTAATATCCAAAACCAAACCTGCCTCGCTTGGAATTCCAATTGTTTTTTCCTGTGTTCTAAAACTCGTTAGGCGGTACTAGGGCGCTCCGTCTCCTTCTAGCGATTTTCTTAAAAGTCGGAAATAAATCGGAGAGTACTCGGAGATTAATTTTAAGTACATTTTTATATATTTCCAACATTTTTAATTTTTTATATATAATACATCAACATGAAAATCATATACTACATTATTACCAAATAACATTCTTTTTTTATATATAATACATCAATATAAAAGTCATATACTACATTTTTAAGGTTTCATGTTGAATGAAAAGTGTCTTTACACACTTTGGGCGAATTGGGGCTAATTGTGAACAAAAATCAAACTTTAGCCCACCAGATTTTAACATTTACTTACTGATTTTTATAATAATGTGAATGTCAAAGTACGGTCAACGGTTGACCATATCTTTACTCGGTTTTTAAAAAGTCGGAACGGCAACCTCCTTCTGGCGGTTTTAGGACCGAGTACTCGGCAACTCGGCCGACTTTTAGAACACAACTTTTTTCATACAGTTTTGGAACATATTTTCCCAGTCTCATACCCCTTCACGAATTTAATACTATTCCTATATTCTCTATAGGTTCCTAGTGACAGCTAATCCATCTTTCACAATCAGATTCAAAATGTGAGTTGAACACCTTACATGAAAAAACTTACCATTGCACCCCAGATCTTTGTGACTCCAGCGACTGCAAATTGTCCAAAGAAGAAAAAAGTGCGAGATTCGGCCAACGAGGAAAAAAAGTGTCAATGTGTTTTCCCCCCAAATTAATTAACCTAATTTTCTAAGTGTTTCGGTCTGCCCATAGACAGTATAGTCTTGCCCGTTTTGGTCCATATTTGTAATTGGTCTTAGTCAATTTAGACCATTTCATATATGGGCGTGAACCATAATCCGAACTGGGTCTGTTCATGGATCTTTGCCCAGTTGACAGCTCTAAACCAACACATAAATCTTACATATTAGATTTTTATACTCTAATAACCATAATCAGTGTTAAGAGGCAAATCCAAAATATTTAACCAAAAATGAAATAAAACAAACCAAAATTCAGCTAGAAGAGGTCATTTTGGTCAGTGAAAAGTTAAACCAAATGTGAATCTGTCAAAGGCATAGAGAGAGATAGAGAAGTTGAACCATTAAAGGCAATGCATTTAGTGAAGAAGAAAGCAAGACGTCTAAATTGGTTCGAAACTCAACTACCCATAAATTCCAATGTTGACCATTCATTTACACCCTTCTGTCTTTTCAATTTTCCCTTTATTTGTTTTTGTCAGCTTCACATACTAAAATTAGTTTTTAAAATTACTGTTTTCTACAAGTCTTTGAAGAACTCACGAGTCTTGCAAGAACTTTCTCTCTTCGACAAAACGTGCATAAGTTTTGTCACCGTCGTTGTCTTTGTTTTTCTTTAACCTTTTTGTTTAGTTTTGGCTCTTTGATATAACTTGAATTCGTCTTTGTGGGAGACTTATAATTTCAACATGTTGCCTCATCGTCAAAAAGCTATCTATGACTTTTGGCTTGCATAAATCAATCTATAGTGGAGCATTCCTTGATATAAAATGATTATCAAGTTGCTTTATTGTCTGTCTATTTGTCCATACATTCTCGAATACTATAAAAAAAACAAATCAACAACAATAATGACAATAAATATGTGAAGTGCACTCTTCTGTCTGCACAATGAGGAAGGAATCTAGAGACGTTTTGGGTTTTACAGATATGGTCATATGGACATTCAATTGTGGGGTTGGTTTAGTCCACGTGTCAATTTACAAGCAAATGTCGTAGCTGAAGTATATTCTAAAAAATCTTAAAGGACTAAATTGATAAATTGTAGTACCAAACTAATGTGTTTTTTTGTTTGTTTGTTTGTATGCGTACAGTAAAGAAGGCATATATAAGATCTGTTTTCAGTGGAGATGTGTGTAACACTTTTCAAGTGTTCGTAGCTTTATTTTAAATGAAATTTCTCTTATTAGTTATTAATGTTTACATTTTTCTGTTGTACTGGAAAAGATTGTGCGAGATTTATTCTCTTTGATTTGTTTTTTTTTTTTTTTTTTTTTTAATGTAACTGATTGTAGCTTGAAGTGGAGGGAGTGAGTAGTGTTATTGTAAGGGATAAATCAGAAATGTAAAAAAGATTCTTAAGCTGTTTGAACGTGGAATAAATTTGGCTTTTTCTTAGAAAACGACTTGCGAGTTGCGATATTGTTTTACATTAATAAATATTAATTTTAATTATATAAATGACACTTGACAAAAAAAAAATTATTACATAAATAATAAATGCTATAAAAGCATAGATGAACTTTTGGATAAATAATTTAAGAAACTACAAAGTCAAATCTAGTTGAGAACAAAAAAAAAAAAGTTGAATAACTTTTGGCTTCAATATTTTACAGATGAGCAAAAAATGCTTTTTACTAACTTTTAATCACTTTTCACACTTGTACTTTACGAAAAAAAAAACCAACAAAAAACCAAAATTCCATAGCAGTGACGTAAATTATTCTTCACAACTCTTGTGTCAGAGTTGATAATTAAATTAGCTCTTTGGTTACAGAGATCAGAGATGATATTTAATTTACTTATAATGGTTTGGATCAAACTCAAAGCTCTCAAAAATGAAAAATCTTTACCGTCAAATAGTTCGTTAGATATATAACGGAAAACCGCCAATTATTCACTCTCTCCTACGTGCCAAAGACTCGAGACTGACTCGAAAACGCTGTCGTTTCATGATACACCATCCTCACTGTGAAAAATGTATCCTTGGAAGTGAGAAGACGAACAAAAAACAAAAAGCTGGAAAATCAATTTACCGGTTTACCGTTCACGCCGGCGATATGAGAAGCTAAAGCCTAAAAGAGTTTTTCCGATTCCAACAAATTTGGGCCACAATGGGCTGCGTTTGCTGCAAATCCTCCACCGGAGACAAACGGAATCCCGATGAAGCTTCTCCGAAAGGAAAGGCGGAGGATTTGCCTTCTTCCACCACCACCACAACAACCAACACCGCCGTATCTGTACCGGAAATCGATGACGGAGAGAGGAAGAAGAAGGATTTGGGTTCGATTCAGATTCAAAACGCGAGAACGTGGCACACTGGCGACTTCAACGCTGGCTCTTCTCGCCGGCCGTTGGGGATGAGCCTCCGTGTCCCTGACGGATGGCCACCGTGGCTGATTTCTGCTTGCGGCGACTCGATCAAAGACTTAACTCCTCGCCGAGCCACCACTTACGAGAAGCTCGAGAAGGTAAAAAAATGTTCCCTTTACTTCAAGTTGATGTCTTTAAAGATTTACATTAACAAGAAATGATGAAATCTTGCAGGTTTGGTTTAGAAAGTGTCTTTCTTTTTAGCTATATACCCTAAATTAATTTCCTTTTTTGGATTAGTTTATTTGGTTTTTGGTTAATGCAATCTTTGAATTTTTTAGATTGGGCAAGGAACATACAGTAATGTGTACAAGGCGAAAGATCTATTAACAGGAAAAATCGTAGCTTTGAAGAAAGTTAGATTTGACAATTTGGAAGCAGAGAGTGTTAAGTTCATGGCCAGAGAGATTCTTGTCCTGCGACGATTAAACCATCCTAATGTGATTAAGCTCGAAGGCTTAGTTACTTCGAGGGTTTCTTGTAGTCTCTACCTTGTCTTTGAGTACATGGAGCATGATCTCTCTGGCCTTGCTGCTACTCAAGGTGTCAAGTTCGATCTTTCTCAGGTTTGTGTTTTGAATACTAATCTATCTTTAGATAAGTGTTGATGTAAACTAAACTTCTTGTTTTTGTGTGTTTTTAAAGGTGAAATGCTTCATGAAGCAGCTATTATCTGGTTTAGAGCATTGTCATAGTAGAGGAGTGTTACATAGAGATATCAAAGGCTCTAATCTACTGATAGACAACGATGGAATACTAAAGATTGCTGATTTCGGTTTGGCTACCTTTTACGATCCAAAGCAAAAGCAGTCGATGACTAGCCGTGTGGTCACGCTCTGGTACCGTCCTCCTGAGCTTCTTCTTGGAGCTAACAACTATGGAACTGGTGTTGATCTTTGGAGTGCCGGTTGTATTATGGCTGAGCTTCTTGCTGGCAAGCCCGTTATGCCAGGACGAACCGAGGTAAATCGGTAAATCTGTGTTAATCTTGTTCTTGTTGGTTAATGTGATTCTTAACTAACCTTTGCTTCTTTTGTAGGTTGAACAACTTCATAAGATATTTAAGTTATGTGGCTCACCATCAGATTTGTACTGGAAGAAGTATAAGTTGCCAAACGCGACTCTGTTTAAGCCGCAGCATCCGTATAAGCGTTGTGTGGCTGAAGCTTTCAATGGTTTCACTCCATCCTCTGTGCAACTAGTGGAGACACTTCTCGCTATAGACCCTGATGATCGAGGAACTTCTACCTCTGCCTTGAGTAGTGAAGTGAGTATCATTCTTGAAAAGACTTCAAGATTTTACATTTGTCTTTCCTTCTTTTTGGTCAGTTTGTGATTAGATGCCATTCTATTATTACAGTTCTTTACTACTGAACCGTTAGCTTGTGATCCATCAAGTTTACCAAAGTATCCACCTTCCAAAGAGCTGAATGTAAAGCTTAGAGATGAAGAGGCAAGAAGGTACTTATGTGTGTTTACATCTTCTTCTATGCGTTTTCTTGATTGCTCTGCTCATGCTATTTGATTTGTAATTGGTTTCTTCTTTTTGGTACTACTTCCTAGGCAAAAGGGTCTTCCTGGAAAAGCTAGTGGTGTTGAAGGAGCTAGAAGAATAAGGTATCGTGGGGATCGCACTGGTCGAGCTATTCCAGCTCCAGAAGCTAATGCTGAGATTCAATCAAACTTAGATGTGAGAAAAAGAAAATCCTCTGTTTAATCTCATTCATACTTCCATTGTAATGCTTAATCTTGCTGCTGTGTTCTTGCAGAGATGGAAAGTGGCACCTCAGCAAACGCAGGGAAGAAGCAAGAGTGAGAAGTTCCCGCCTCCTCACCAGGACGGTGCGCTTGGAAACCATCCAGTGGAAGATGTGTCAAAGAAAGGATCAGTGTTTGGTGCAAAGGCTGAGACTTCTTTCGGGTTATCGAGATCTTTCAAAGCAGGGGAAGGGACATCTATGAGAAAGATTTCAAGGAAAGATGGGTCTTCTTCATCAAGAAAGTACATATGGGGACTTAAACCTCCTACAGCGCTTGGTCTATCAATGGACTTGCTTTTCAAGAGCAGATCAGAAGTTTCTGGGGTCCGGAGATAGGATATATATATAAATGGGGAAATGAGTTTAGTGCATTGAAATAAGAGACTGTTTGCTTTTTCAATTCAGGGGAGAGAGAGATTGGTTGAAGAAGTTCAAATTCTTTGTAGCAAGATAGAGAGACAATGAGAGCGATTGCACCAATGGAATTTTGGTTTTGCCTCTTGATGTAAGAACACAATTCAAGATAGTTTTAGAATCCTACGTCTAAATTGTATAGTTGGTGAAATGGGTTCTGAGGCTTGAAAGATTGGATCTTTTGATCTCTGTGTTGCAGAGAGTTGTAGTCTATACAGTGCAATAAACAATGTGAATCTTATGGTATCACGTTTAAGGTTCAACCGAACACATAAAACTTACATAATAAACAAAAATTTGCAATAACATAATAGTTGAATAGAGGTATAGTATTTTCCATGACTGGTTTGTATACTAATATTGTGATTCTTTAGTGAAAAAGTTACACCTATGAGCACTTAACGAATGTGTAATTACATTTCAAGGCACTTTTGGTCTTTGACACACTTTCATAAGATGGAAAGACTGTAACACTCTTTTTTATATCTTTCTTCTGTTTCTCTTAATTTTGTATTCCTTCTCCCTTTTGCCTTCTTCTAACGTCTTTGTTCTTATCTCGTTTTAAATTTTTCATTATGTGAAAAATGAGCAAACACGTTGTGAAAAAATGAAAATGATATAAGATTGCTCATAGTGTACTGGTACTCACTGGTAGTGGTACACATTGTGAAAAAAAATGAGCAAACACAATGGGCTTCTTTTATTGGCACCTACTAGTACTTTGTATTCGTACCTAGCTTGCTATGGAAGTGCCATACACCAAGACCAGCTCTTTTGGCGTAATAGCAATCATCAAAGAATTTTGTAGTGTCAAGTTTGTAGTCGTCAGACGTTCCATATAGCCTGATCACTTGTTATACCGTTTTTAACTAGTTAGCATGTATACGTCCTGCATGTACTGGATAATTTTGACCTTTGCTTTCAACCAACTTGATATTTTTGTCTAAAAGCCTGAAAAAATAGTTTTGGGAATTCTTGAGACAGAAACAAAAATAAAGTCACAAAACAAAGAAGAGGATAAAAGGATACAAAGTAAAGTTTCCCCTCTAGTTATTTAATTCATTGTAGATTATTAATTACATTCACTTCCTACGCCTAAAAACATCTAAACCGTAAAACATTTTTTTTTTTTTTTTTTTTTGCTTCCTGAATCAGTTTATTTTTCAAAATATCATTTCAATTACTTCTTTTCGATGATTTTTGTGAGACATTTAACATGTTTAACATTGCATATCTGCATTTTAGTTTCTCTAATTAGGTTCTCCGAAAATATTTTGCCAATTGTTTCTCAAAAAGCTAGTGATTGTTTAATCTATTTCTTAAATCAGTCAATATATTCCATGATTTCTTTGATTTCTATACTGAAACAATTGTGGAATTCACTATTTTCATTGAGTTATATGGTTGGAGGATATCTTTAAGCCTTTCCATAATATCCACTAATTATCTCCTGATAATATAAAACGAAACTTTAAAGATAAGGATGCTTTTTCAATAACCAATTCGAAAACCAGTGTAGGCACACTTTACTAGATCAAATGAAGCATTTTCAGAGCCATTCAAGATCCAAAATTCCATTTTGTTGTGCTTCGTAGTTGAGAATTTATTAAAGAAAATCAAAGAGAAAATATATTATTTTTAATCACTAAAATGAAATATTAACAAAGTATTAATAAGACAAATTTTAAGAAAAACATTTTTAGTGCAAATTTTCAAAATTATACAAAATTTTCCTTACAAGTTTATTATATAGCCTATGTCATATTAATTTCTACAAGAACTTGTTGGTAAGATAACCTCGCAACATTCCAATCAACAATATCTCTACACACCACGTCACAACATCTCACAATACGTCACAACGTAAAATAACTAAATCTAAGACTCCTGAAGAAAGTAAGAAGATATCCAAATTGTTCTTTATGATTTTTTTCTTTTATTCTTCATAAGATCCTTTAATATTTAATCTCATCTTGTAGAAAAGTATTACAAAGTCAGACTTGGAATCTAAAAGGAGAAAAAGGTTATAAAATCTCGAAGTAGAATTCAATCTTTTAAAGTTTTTAATAATTGAGCCGTCTAACTAACTGTCTGGTATGATATTAAACAGAAAAATGTGCTTCATTAGCAAGCGGTTTGATGTGATATTAAACAAGAATCACTCATTTTTTAAAAACAGTCTAAGCAAAACATTTCAGAAAAACAAGTTAAAGAAATTGAAAATGTTCAATCTTTGTGCGCTTTCCAAAAATCATCTTTAGAAGAAAAAAAGTAAACATGTTAAATGTCTCACAAAAGTTTCATTAAATTTACCTGGTGAACATATTGTATTATTGTACATCAGCAATCACATAACGTAAAATTTGCCCCCGAAAAATAGTCTTCTACTATTTCGTTCTACATTTCTCAATTTATTACCTATAACTATCACGTTGGACCAATTTCAGCTTCCATATCAAACTCTTCTATTTATTGGCCAAAATCAAACAATAGTTAGTCGTGTTTGTTAAGCTCTGGAACCATCCTCCCAAACTTTTTCATGGAGATACCAATAACAAAAATGATGATGATCTTAGGCAAGGAAGGACCAGGGTAAACCTCTTGGTTCAATTTATTCTATAGTTAGTTTACTAAAATTTCTACCATATAGAGAGCATGATGAATTCTTTAAATTTGGTAACCGAATGCACGTACAACCAAAAATTAAAGTTGTTGTTTACCATTTTCCTTTTAACTACTCTGTTCTTTGCAGGCCGAAAAACCTCATAAGATATTTAAATGTTGTGACTATCAGATCTGTACTAAAAGAACTGTTTATTTCTAAAATTTGTAGAATATGAAACAGGAAGCAACACACCTCAATCATTATTTAGCGAGGGTTTCGCTGTTTAGCCATCACTCGACCCAAAAAAAAGGCGTTATAATATCCTCCACTAAGCGTTCTCGATCAATTTATCAATTATCCCCAAAGATAGAAATTTTCAATATGGGAAGGGCACAAAAAAATAACGAAAACCGCATAGAAGGATTAACAAGAACAATAGCAAAAGACAAAATAATATCACGAGGAATGGTGGTGGTTTTGTAACCAAAAGAGAGAAAGATCAATATCTCCGGTTTTCTTATTTTCCTTTCCTTTTTCAAAAGATCAAAGAAGAAATGTGTTGAGTGATTCTTTGACCATCATTATTTGGATCTGTAACAAGCTCTCTTTGCTGCTCGAACGATATCCTCTACCTGTACCACCATTATTCATTGTAGTGTTCAAATACATATCTAAAAATATGAACATAGTTTTTTATTGCAAGCAAACAAACATACCTGAGGAAGAGCCAATCTCTCAAGGTTAGCTGCATAAGGCATTGGAACATCAGCTCCTGCGATCCTCTCGACCGGTGCATCCAAGTACGAGAAGCTCTCTTCTACAACCGACGCACTGAGAGATCCATAAGAAACCGTTATCAAGTGAAGAAATTATTATTATACCGGAAAACACAGATCGTCACTAAGTAAATGAAGCTAACCAGATTTCTGCACAGACTCCATGTTGAGGGAAACCTTCTTCAACTGTAACCAATCTACTTGTTTTTCTCACTGAGGCATTGATGGTTGCTCTGTCTAGCGGACGGATTGACCTAAGATTTATTACCTAAAAAGCATATAAAACGATTGCTTGTTTTATAAACAAAAACAAAAACCAGTTTTAAGCAAAATCAAAAGACAAAAATCTGAAAAATCTTCCTACCTCAGCACTAATTCCCTCTTCTGCGAGCTTCTCAGCTGCCTAGAATCATCAACATTCAAAAATTTCAAAAGAAAGAACAAAGAGAATCACAGAAAAGGAATAGTAATCAGTTCTAGTTACTGAAAGGTGTTTGTTAAGGTAGGGAAATGACAAACCTTGAGGGCAAAACCGACCATCTTCGAGAAGGTTACTATCGTTACATCCTTTCCTTCTCGTTCAATCTGTTATTAGGCAGATACATCGTTAAAGAAACTAAAACTACTAAGATAGAAGAAACACAGCAAAATGAAGTCTTGATACCTTGGCTTTGCCTATGGGAAGACAGAAACTTGAATCAAGTGCTTCTTCTGAAATTGGAAATGATTCACCGTATCTGCATGATCGAATCAATGTAAGGGGACATTCGTATGTGACTCTAGGCTCTAATTACATGACAAGAATTCAAATTAGGCATACTACTTACAGTAACTCATTTTCAAGGAAGACAACGGGATCAGGGTCTCTAATGGCAGCTTTAAGAAGACCACGAGCATCTTCGGCTGAGTATGGAGCCAGAACTTTCAAACCAGGAACTGAGGCGTACCATGCGGCATAGCACTGCAAAATTTAGAACAGAATATCTCTATTGAACATCCAGATATACAGTTACAAGGTCAAAGGCATTTGTAAAATACGGATAATTCCTGCCCTGTATTGATTAGTCATGCAAGGCGGAAAGTATCATTAGACGAAAAGTGATAATTCCTAAACGCATCTACCTATCATGTTAGTCATACAGCGAAATTTTATACGCCCTTCTCGGAGACACAGTCATTGTTTTCATGTGCGCTTTAACACAGTTAAGAGAAAAAAAGGTTTGTTGCACAAGATTTGTGTAAGCGATTACCTGAGAATGCTGAGCCCCAACACCAGCAGCAGCTCCATTAGGTCCTCTAAAGACGATTGGTACATTAATCTGTCCAGCAGACATGTAATTTGACTTTGCAGCAGAATTTATGATATGGTCAATTGCCTGAAAAAAGTCCGGCATATGTTAGGATACAGATATAAGGAAATAAGATGACAAAATAAAGTGAATGATGCCTGGAAACATATTTGTACCACAGTGCAAGATACCATAACGCAACAATGACACATAATCAAGTCAAAGAAAGAAGCAAAAACAAATAGTACAAAACCAACACTGACCTGCATAGAGAAGTTAAACGTCATAAACTCTACAACAGGCTTTAAGCCAGCATAGGCGGCACCAACTCCAATTCCAGTAAATCCAGCCTGAAACATGATTGAAAAAGATGAGTATCAGAAATCTTCTTCCCAATCTAGAATCATGGACATAAGGATTGCAACTGCACTACACGAAATCCAAACCTCGGTAATAGGGGTGTCATAAACTCGTTCAGGACCATATTTCTCCAAAAGTCCTTTAGTGATCTGTGAGTACATGATAAAATTCAAGGCCAAAACAAGAGAAATTTAACTGGAAAAAATCTCCAACATGTCAAAACAATTCTAACCTTGTATGCACCTTGATATTGGCCAACCTACAAAAAAAGAAGATAAAAGTTGAAATATAGATAGCCGATTAGAAATGCAAGAATGAACATATCAAACATGTCAGCTGGAACTAACCTCTTCACCCATGACAAATACTTTAGGATCTGCAGACATTTCCTCATCAATTGCAGAATTTAGAGCATCTCTGACTGTCATCTAACCAAGGGTTTGCATACAAAAATGTAAGAATCAGTACAATATTTTTGGCAATTCCATAATAAAAGGAAAGAAATGTTTCAGAAATATTGACAAACGACTGAAGGCTGAGTAAAGCTTTATCAGCTTTGTTTTATTCGTCAGCTCCTAAATGAAATGATGTGTTGGCTCTCAAAATGCACATAAAATTAAGCTTAAGCTTCATTTCTTAGGATTCTAAATTGTTACACGATAGAACCCCAAGAGTTATTTACTTTTGTTCCATGATTATCTATCCTTGCGTTTCTTGGATACTCACAGTTCACAAAGCCGAAACAAGTAAATTTTCTTCATCTATTCAGTGACTTATTGCTCATTAGACTCGACTTTTTTGGTGCACACAAACAGTCACAGAGACACACAAGACAAACATTCAGCCATCATCTAAAGGTTATCTCCTCAGGTAATTTGGTAGAAATTATCATCTCTTCTCATCTCAAAATTGACCAAATTAGCTGAATTCGATAAACCCATTACCTCTTTTGAACCAGCTGCATAGCTCCTTGCCGAAACCAATGCGGATCGCGTCCTTCTAAGAGACTGTTCAAAATCCATTTTCGAAAATCACACAATTCCGAAAGGAAAAAAATCAACAAATCCGATCCCACAAGCGCTCCACGAATAATCTCAAATCAACAAAAAAGAGGTAAAGCCTCTTACCGAAGCAGCCAAGCCTCCATCGACGGCTCTCTGTCTCATGATTCCCCACATTTTTTCTCTATCTGAAAAAAACGAATTTACGATACGCATGATCAAAAGCCCCGTAGATCTAACAATCGACGAGAATTTTCAAACGAGACAAAAGAGGAACAAAAAGAATCAGAGATGATCAAATACCGGCGAGACATAAAATGATTACCTGAGCTTATCTACCACGCCGGCGAAAAGCGATCGGAGACGGCGGATTCGAAAGAGAAGAAGAGACGACTCAAAGCTTGAGCGAAAGGGCACTGTTTTTTTCTTCTTGTAACAACAACACACAGCGCAAATGATTTCAGTTAGATGAAATATAAAGAAGAGTAGGTCTTCTTCTTCATCGAATTACAAGAGCCGTACGATTCATCACTACCGGTCAAGATCAATGGTTGACATTTCATATTATACTTTTTCTTTTTTCGCTTTTATTATTCCATGGTTGAAGTTTATAAAAGCGGACGACGATCCAAAGAGAATATGAAAAATGGAGAGAAATATTCTTAACTAAATAGCCATTAAAATAATTAATTTCTCATCAGTTACTTTTTTTGTGAAATAAAAATAGGGAAAATTGTCATATATGGCTACATTTCAAGTAATTTTGGGGGTCTAATTGCTACAACAAACAAAACCTTAAAAATTAAATCACAATCTCTCTACTTTCAAGCTTGAGCAGAATCGCCACTAGTACTGTTAGTTTCTTTTTGCTTTCTTTCAGCTTGAAGAGATCTGCAAAGCGATTCAAGCTTATCTTTCTGATTCTTTGTCTTCTCCAACTGTTTCTTCAATCTCTCACGCTGCTCAATGTTGAACAAAGAAAAGTTACTTTTAACCGCTGCATAACCAAAAATGGTGGTGAATAGACAGGTTTTGGTTTTACCTCTTCAACTAGTTCTATGAGAGAAAGATCAGATTTCTCGGTTTTGCTCTTCAAGAATGCGTTTTCTTTCCTGAGTTCCTTGATTGCCTTTGACATCTACTCAAAAACACCAATTAAGTTTTAATAAGATCAACACAGAAAATGGCAAATCTGGTCAAATGAAAATGTATTTACCTTTTCGATTTCTTGTTTGAATGTTTCAAACACCTCATTGCTCTTCACCAACGCGTCCTGTATGCAAATATTTCATTGTTAACTAAGCGATCACAAACATTCTACTAAGTTCCATCTTCTCAATCACAAACCTGGAACTGCTGGAATTTGGTTCCATCAGATGTTAGCTGCAACCGCAAGTTTTTCTCAGTTGCTAAAAGCTGAGACACTTGATCCGCGTAAACTTTCATCTGAGATTGTTCATGGATCAGTTTCTCCTCGTGCTGTTTGATTTTCAAAGCAGAAATCTGTAGCTCGAGCGTTTTCTGCTTCAACTGATCATCCAAAAATAAGATGTTATTATAAACACATCACAGTTTTAAAGCCAATAGTGTTGGCTTGGTGATGAGAATAAATAATCATACTCTTTGCTCATGTTGTTGTTCTGAAAGCATATATTGATCAGCCAGGTGCTTCAACTTCGTCCTCAACCTGGAGATGAAGAAACAAGTCCATTGAAACTCTAAAATATGTTGCCCATGTAAAGAGTATAGTATGCAGAATGAGAGTGAGCATTTTCATATTGATTCTAACTTAATAATCAATATGAAAATGTCATGAGTGAGTGATTTCGTCTTACATCTCATTTTCTTTTAGTTGTGTGAGGCTTTCATCTTTCTGCTCGTCCAACTTAATGCTCACATCCTATAAGCAAAGCTTGATTAGAAAGAATAATTATACAGATTTTAATAAAATATTCTGACTGGTTTTTGCAAGTTTGTGATGTTGCAAAAGCGTATAAGCTTAATTCATCAAACTCAAGTCTATTTTAGAGTATGCATCTACTTGGAACATTTCCTACTTTATATAAGTGAGTTCCAATAACTTCATGTGCCAATGTTAGTGTAGAGTTTCAAATATTAGCAAAGAAGAAAAAAACAGATTATTTCCCAGACTCTCCAAAGCATATATAACTATAACACACAAGATTAGAGAAGATACTAAGGGAATGGAACAAGGCACATTAAGATTTTCCTACTCAAAAAGATGTTACACAATATTTCCTCCTCTTAAGAGCTGCTAATAGTACCAATGAAAATTTGGCTCAAAGTTTTACATTGAAAAAAAAGTGTTCAGTTACCTTTATTGCATCCTGGAACTTTGTCGATAGATCTGATCTTAAAGTCTGTCCCTCAGTAGACACTCGCTTGCATTCTTCCTATTATACAAAATGAACATCCAATTCACACACTAAGAACAAGATAACAGATATGGCAAACCAAGTAGAGTAAGCAAGAAGAGAGAAAAAGAACATACCATCAACATTTTGTTCTGACGTTGCAACTCTCTACAAAGCGACTCGAGCTTGTCACGAACAGTAACAGCTACAGAAAAAAAAAAGTAGAAAAACATGTCATAGTTTTCAAAGATGAGCAGAGAGTATAGAAGCATAGAACAAACACATTGGGGTTTTTACTGATTTCCTATTACCAGAATCTCTCTCAGTAAGGACTTGCTGATACTTGAGCATGAATTCTAAAAACTCTTTCTCTGATTTGAACACATTCTTTGATCCCTTACGCTTGCTCTCAACTGCCTCCTGCTTTTCAATTCAACATCAGCATCTGTTAAACAGTTAACATATATTCTTCCCAAAGCAACAATGAAGAGAGAAATCAACTTTTCCATACATTTAGAATCTAAGGTCTCAAGGCATAATACAGAGTATTCTATGAACATATTTAAGCTGATATCACAAACATTTGGTATTGTGAGTTGATAAATAAAAAAAAACTAACTTGTTTCTTGGGTTTGAGCGAATCCAAACTCTGAGTCACTTCATTGTCCTTGGAAAAGCTTGGATTTTGTGATGACCCTTGTGATTCTGATGCTACTAACTCAGAAGCAAAGAAGCAACGTTAGATAACGCCAAAGAAGTACATTGAAATTAAGATTTGAGAATCTTCTCTCACATGTTTGGCAAACAACAAGAGGAGGAGTAGAAGGTTCTTCTTTCTGCTCTAAGCTAAGCTTGCTCGAGACTTGAATTAGGTCATTTACGTCGTCGTCGTCGTCATTACCATCTGTTTCTTCACAGAGCGGAACAGGGAAAGTCCTGAGCTTCTCTGCTTTCTCAATCGAGAGATCGACGGTTTGATTGTTTGTTGCGATGCGGTTTTCTTCCTCGGCCGCCGGAGAAATGAGAGGCGGTGGCTCTGCAGCTCCGTCGACGAATCCGTCGGGCAATGAATCAACTTCGGGGAGTAAATTCGATTGCGGCGGTGACTCCATTTTGGACTCTGGATCTGGAATCGAATTACGGGAATCAGCGAGATTACAAAAACCCAATTGTGACCCGAAATGGCCGAGTAGAGAAGAAAATCAAGCAAAACCTTTTACGGGATTTAAAAAAAACAACTTTAAATCGAAAGGATTTTAATGAAAAAGACAATGTTTGAGCTTTAATGCTAGATTGACCATTATGCCCTCAAAATCCTGACCCCTTGAACCTGAACCCAACACGAAAAATTCTAAACAAGAATCTCAACCGAAGTTTAAAAATACACGATCGATTTCTATATTTCAAAAACCTAAAAAAAATTGAAAAAATCTGAACAACCTGAAAAATCCAAAAAACCTAAAACACCGAAAAATAAAATAAAAAAACTATGAAAACCGAATTTAACTGAACCAAAAAAATCGGGTTTGTACAACCCGAAAACGATCCGAATCTGAAAAAACTTGATCGAACCCGAACCGAAATTCAAAAATACTGGTTTTTATATCTTTAAACCCGAAAACCGACAAACCCGATCCAAAATCCTAAGATATATCTTTAGCCCAGGACTTCGGGTTTCGTGTTGGGTTTGTCTGTTTTCATATTTAAAGATATGTAAACTCAGTATATATCTATGGAATATCGATTGTGAAACTTAAAACCCTATTTTTTTCTTTACGATCTTCTCGCTCTCTTTCACAAGGCAAGAGACAACAGTGATGGTTTCCAATATCCTCCTTCCATGGGAATTGGAATCGGAAATACTTGTTAGGGTTCCGGCCACATATCTAAAACATTGGCGGTTTCTCTGCAAGCGATGGTACGCTTTATTCAAAGATCCTAAATTCACCAAGAAGAACTCGAGTTTAGTTAAAGCAGAAACGCGTATGGTCTTAAAGAGAGATCAATCTATTTATTCCTTTAGCTTCAATATCTCTGGAATCCACAACAGGTATGATCAGTTTATTGAGTTTACAGGTAAACTTAGGAATCTAAAGAGTTTAGAAGATGTTAGGATACATGAAATATCTTACTGTGAAGGTTTAGTCTTGTGCACAACCAAAGACAACAGGCTCATAGTTTGGAACCCTTGTACTTGTCAAACAAGCAAGTGGATCATACCTACTACACGTTACACTTCAATGCTCTCTAAGAATTTTCTGGGATACGATAACAACAACAGCGAATCGTGCGTTAGCTACAAAATCTTGAGCAAGAACACCACAGTTTCCAAATATGAAATGTATGATTTTAACTCTGATACATGGAGGCTTCTTGATGTCGGTACTGATCATGATAAGTGGTGCGTGCAATCTAGTGGCGTTTTCTTTAAGGGAAATACTTACTGGTTAGATTATGATAATGAAGACTTTAATTTCATACTTAGGTTTGATTTCACGACAGAGAGATTTGAACGTCTGTCTCTACCTTTTGTGAGTGATGATTATGATGACAATTTAGCTTTATCAGTTGTCGGAGAAGAGAAACTTGCTGTCTTATGTCAGCTGTTAGATTGTGAGTTTGGTGAGATGAAGATATGGGTGACCAATGCTGTAACTGATGGATCCAAAGACTTGTCGTGGAGTGTACTCGTAGATTTTGGTAAACTTGTGAAAAATAATATGACGAATGTGACGAGTTTCTTGGTGGACGAGGAGAATAAAAAGGTCATGTGTTGTGCTGCTGACATGGACGATGAACAAAGGATCACAATTCACGTTGTTGGAGAGGGTATTTGTAAACAAGTCTACAGAGAGGTTACACAAGGATCAGCTAATGATTGTCCACTTCTCGTCGGTTATGTTCCAAGTTTGGTTCACATTCCTGCAAGCCAAACTAATCATGGTGTCAAAAGAAAAAGGTGATTACCTCTTGATTTCAGTTAACTATTTTCATTGAACGAGATTAGTGAATTTTTTTTTTTTAGTTGAAGATTCTTTGTTTTCTTTTGATTTTGTGTACCCTTTTTGCTTTTGAGGAAAGTATGTTGGTGATCTTGAATTCATTTTTTATGACTGCTTAGTCACTTTCTGATCCCTAACTTTGTCATGGTAAAGCTGTTTAGAACCCAGAAGAAGTTTAAATGCCATATACATTACTCACTTTTTTTCAAGCAAGAAATGCTAATTACAAGTCATTACTTCAGCAAGATTCATATAGAATCCTGCTTTAGAATGCGACACGAGTTTCTCCATATCATATTGCCACTGAGAGACTTGGCCACCTGAAAGTGGTAGCTCTTCTAAGAAATCTTGAGAATTATTGTGGAATCTCATGACTGGTCTCGATCTTTTCCTTGATCCAGTGGCAATGCATTCTTTCGATGAAGAGACCGTTTACCTCGTCACTCGCCGAACTATTGTTTGCAGACACATCTCTATCTTGTTTCTTGTAAGTTATGCATAAAAAAAGTTCCAACTACACGAAGATTGGAACAAGAAAACCAAGACTCTTAATTGGAGTCTTTCTATATGATCTTTTTCATCAGTTCGTGCTTCCACAAAGACTCCTATTCCCTTCCTTGTCCACATGGTTGCATTCATGTTATCTTTCCCGAGCCACACAACTAGTTCACATTAAATTACAGTTGTTAATAAAAAAAGTCATTATACAGTAAAAAATCTATATATTAATACTCAGTAAACTAATAAACTCGATAATACAATAAATTTCTCTAGTTTCAAGTTGGATTGATGTAAAATATAATATATATCAATAAAATAATAAGATAATATGGAAAAAAATATCAATTATTAGTTAAACACCTGCCAAACTGAAGAAATAAAAGTAATTAAAATATAAAATTGAAGAGTATTTTTAAAATCCATTGAAACTGGAAATAAATATGAACCCAACATATAATAACTAAGACTTCTTTTTTGGTATACATTGAGTTTTTTAATGATCCAAATTGCATTCTGGTATATTTTTATCTGTAGGTTGTATATAACAAAATATCAAAATCTAATTAATTGTCTGTATTAAAGTCTTGCTATTCTGAAATTCATGCATAAATATTTTACATGGATTAATGTTTTTACAATATTAAAATATTTTTGTTTTAGTTGAACCATTTAACTAGTTTGATTATAATAAAGAAACTGCAAATAACATAATGATATATGTTAAATATGTTTTTGTTACTTAATAAATCAAACTTACACATCTCACTATTTTATGGATTTAAATCTTTCATTTATAATTTTATTTTTATAATATTTGTAAGTAAATAAATAGAAAGGAAGATCATAGGGATATATATATATATATATATATATATATATACAAAGATGCATTCTGGATCCTTAAATGGTACCAAATTTAAAATTATTGGTTATGTTTATTCAGTTCATATTTTTTTTTTCATTTGTTATTGATTTTGCAAATAGCATTCCTATTTTAATCATTAAGATTTTTTTTTTTCTGTTTTCAGCATCTACTTAACTATTATTTTTTGTTCAATTCATGTATTATATATGTATATACACATCTAAATCCTTATAAATATGACATAACACACATATACTCTCATTATACACTATTTGCTTTTTACTTCTTTTTTTTCTGTTTTGAAAACTTCATTTAAAGTGTTTCATCAAGATGACTAAAGCCGCCGTTCTTGCTATCTTTATGATTGTCATCGTTCTAGGTTTGCTTTGCATTTCCCATCTCATAAATATATTAGCAACCTAACATTTCAAAAATAAACTAACATGTATAAAATATTTTCCTTTCAATTTAACATTTATGTCTGGTGCCTAGAAATAAAGTATTTTAAATATATTTTAATCATTTTTCAGGGATGGTGACAGAAGAGACTCAAGGACAAGAGATGTGTCATGATGTTTTAATGAAACCAACCTGTGAAGATAAGGCATGTGCCAATCTGTGTACCCAGAAGTGGAAAGGTCGTGGCAGTTCCATCCAGAATATACACCAGTATAATTGTTTGTGCACTTTTCCTTGCCAGATTTGATTCTTTTTATGATCTACAAAAGAAATAAAGTAATAATAACACAATGACGAAATGACATAAAATTGCAATATTTCCCAAATTTATATGTATTTTCTTATTTTATTTTCACATGAGCTATATAAATTGATATTTGAGCATATGTTCCCTTCCTAATTCAAATGTCGATCAATAGTAGCAAATAGAAACACTAATTGACATGGAGGGATGGTTAGAACATTAACTGTTGAAAGTTGATTTTTAAATTTCATTATTAAAATGTATTTTAAATTAAAATTTTAAATTGTTCAAATTAACATTAATGTCAAAAATCATAAAATATAATATATTATTGAGTTGTGTTTGATACAAAATCATCATATACATATATATAGTGTTTAACATTAACATAATGATAACACCAAAAAGAATATAAAATCCTTATCACAATAGGATTTCAATGAGAATATATATTCTTCGGTGTGCTTCACTTCATAGAAGGTCCGCAAGATACACATCTTGATTTTCAAGTTACTATAATATTCCCCCCCACAGGACAAACATGGTATGCAAAATCATCAAACAGAACATGTACGTGGTGGACATCATATCGAGGATGGACAAACACATCAACAAACTCCTCTGGGTATCGGGATGGAACTTCAACTTGTCTATGATAATTTTTTTAATCTGAGTATGTTCACCATGGACTATTACTCTATTAAGATTTCGTCAAAACTATATGGCCATTTTAGTTTATTGATTATTATTCTTAGATAGCATAATCTCTTGCAGAGCCAGAGCCACATAGTACAAGAGGGGGCATATGCCCCAATACTTTTTACCAATGATTAAAAAATCGGACCGGACCGGCCGGTCCGACCGGTTAAATCAGGAACCGGTGGCTTCCCCGGTTTGAGTTTAATGAAAAACCTAAATTACAATTGACCCAAACAAACCGGTAAAAACCGGCAAAAAACCGGAACCCGACCGGTTCGATTAATTATTAAATCCGGTTTTGTATGTAGCTTAAAAACCCTAAAACACATGACGGCTCTTTCCTTCGGTTCTGTCGCTCTTGAAGCTTTACAGTTCTTCTCTTTTGTCCATTCAAAACTTGATCGAACTATACATATTCATGTAAGTCAAAGTGTAATCATTTTTCGTTTTAGTTTTGCTTGATCAATTCTGTTTTGATTAATTTTGTCAAGTACTTAATTTCTCCATTTTGATATGTTCGATCTGAGGAAAAATCTTTAATTTTCTATGTGAAGGATCCAACAGATGGTCCAATATACCACATGTACAGTTCGATTCTAGAGATGATTGATGATAGAGGAAGACTAATTCTTATTTGTGGGTTTTGAGAGAAGAGAAGAACTGTATTGAAAAAAATAACAGAATGAAACACCATCTAGCTGGGTTGTTGAAGAAGAAGGAGAATCTAAACTTGATTATGATGAGTTAGAACTTAATTATGATCATCAAAGGCAAAGCAGCATATGATCCAGTTGATTACGAATGGATTGATAAAATGGAGTTTTGGATTGTTGAAGAAGAAGGAGATGCGGAACTTGATTATGGTGGGTTAGAAAGAGCACTTATTGAAGAATATTCTAAGAATGGTGAAGAATCAAACTCTAATCATCCTAATGCTATGATTATTTTAGTTTAATTTACTATTCTTTGTTTCATACATAAATATTATAATGCTAACATGAATATTTAGATTTTAGACAATGAGGATAAGACTTTATCTCGGGAAAAAGAACAAGATGCTATGATGTTTCACATTGGTTACGTTTTTAGTTGAAGTTTCTGAAACTTTTACAAACTTATAAGGGTACATCTTGTGAATTATCTTATTTGGTTATTTTTAATATATTTATTTATTTAAAATATTTATTATTAAAAAAAAATAGAAAACCCGGTCTAACCGGTCGGACCAGATCGACCCATGACCCGAAGACACTTCCGGTTGGGTGTCCGGTCCGGTTTTAAAAACATTGCTTTTTACAAAATCCCATGTAAACTACAACTAAATTTCATTATGCCCCACATTTATTTCTTGTAATTCTACCCTTAAATGTTTGAAATCTTCAATCAATTCCCCCTATAATAACAAAGTTTTTTGGAATTACAAACAAAATTGAGATCTTCAATCAATGCCCCATTTATTTATTGTAATTATACCCTTCTATGTCAATTTTGTTGGTAATTCCTAATAACTTTGTTAGCTATCCAATTGAGAATTTGTTTTTTCTGATTTCCTTCATTCATTCTATCAATATTGTTCTATCAATATCTTCCTTGATATATCTCGTTCATATCATCTTTGTTTCCTTCATTCATTCAAGAACGGATCCTAGACTTTTCTTTCAATTTGTCGACATGATCCACGTAAACAAATGTTTTGCTAGGTGAGAATTCATCGTATATACAACCTTATATAATATTAAATATATTCTAACAAAACTTATATTGAAATTATACAGAATTATTTAATTGATGTTTTTGAAAATATAAGAAACCGCAAAATTCATCTGAAAAGTAAATACTCCCTCCGTTTCATATTAGTTGTCGTTTTGGCAAAATGTATCTGCAAATATTTGGACGTGTTTTGTATTGCAGATACGTCCAAATATTTGCAGATACATTTTGCCAAAACGACAACTAATTTGAAACGGAGGGAGTATTAGTTAAGCTCACATAATTTATAGAGGTTGCATATTTCCAATTTCACCAACTCATCATCCTGTATATATTATAAGATGAAACATTTGTAATATCCGTAGACCAAAACATCAAATTCTGGGAGTTGTGTCAAGCGACATCAGGAGGGTGTTGCCCAACATTGGTGTCGCTCAACACCGGCTATTGAGAAATCAAGTCGGTTTGATTTAAGTTGTCGGTTTGGGCTGGTTTAGTAGAGAAAGCCCTAAGTTTCAAGAATAAAAGAAGTGTAGCTGCTTTCTTCTTCTCCTTTTTGTCGTTTAGTGGAAGAGAAAGTTCCAGAGAACAGATTTGGGCGATTTCGGAGTTCTTGAGGCAGATCGAAGTCCGTTTATGTGTTTCTCATCGTCATCTCTCTCTTTTCCCCCTTGTTCCAATCCATTTAAAGGTGAATGCGTGACTGTAGTCTCGTGATTGCTCGAAAACTGTTTGATTGTTTGTGTTTTTGATGAGTTCATGTTGATTTGGTGTTTAATCGTGATAATTGGTGTTAACAGCTGTTAATCTTGTGTTTTCGCACTGTTCCATCGTTTGGGTTTTCGTCACTGCGAGACAGTGTCGGTCGACACAAGGGATAGGTGTTGCTCGACACAAGGGATAGGTGTTGAGAGGTTTCTGTGTTGTTGTTCGTTATTGTGATTATTGATTATTGTTTATTGTTTTGTCTAGTAATTGCGTAATTGGCCTGTAGAAGGGATGACCGTCTCACTAAGTAAATACTTACGCATCTCTTTCTCTATGTGATGTAGGTAAAAGAAATGTGTGATCGCGGAATAAAGGCCGAAAAAGTGTATGATAGGATTTATTGATTTAATTATTTAAGTTGTTAGAACCTGGTGTTTAGGTTGCTAGCATTATATTTATTCTTAATTTCATTGTTGAATCGAATTGATTATTTATTTAATGATTTATTGAGGTTGACTTCCGCATTGCTGAGAACTATTTGATGTTTTTTTGTTTAAGCTTGGTTGTTTCATTTTGGTATCAGAGCCCTTATTGTTTTAGGACTATTAGAAATTGTTATCTTACACTATGTGTTTTAATTGATTATGTGTGTTAGTCAGTTAATAGTCTTAGTATCATCCTCTTCGGGTTTTAGGAGATTTCGCAATGAGTTTTTTGTGTCGTTTTTATTGTGTTTCTAGCTTTCTCATCTAATGGTCTTTGGAAGTAGAGTGAGATGGATGCAGGTGCTAGAGGTCGTGGTGCAAAAGATCGCGGTAAAGCAGTTGCCCGTGGGGGCAGAGCAATTGCCCATGGTGGCAGAGCTGATAGCCGTGGAGGCCGAGGTTGGGGTCATGGACTACTAGCAGAGTCGGGGTGAGAGTGCAGCGCCGACTGCGGCGACTGCGTCTGTGACTCAGTCTGTTTCGATGTTGAGTGAGGCCAGTTTTGGTGCCGGTGATGGCGCAAGAGTTGGGGTGGCCCCAGGTGCGGGTGCTGCTCCCGCTCAGGGTCGAGATGACCTAGTTGTCAGGCTACTGAAGCAGCTGTTGGCACGTCTTCCGCCAACAGTTCCACAACAGGCTTCGGGTGTACCTCCAGTGGCCTGGGTGCATCAGGGAGCTGCAGTTGCTGAGCAGCCGAGGGCTATAGTTGTGGATGTGCCGCTCTATCTAGAAATGATGGGGCAGATGTAGAGCATAGTTACACCGTTCTTTGAGGACGGAGTTGGGCTGGAGGAGGTCGATGAGTGGCGTCTAAGATTGAAGCGCAACTTCCAATCTATCAGGTGTCCGTTTGAGTACCATATGGAATTGGCAGTGCACTATCTTAGTGGGGACACACATTTTTGGTGGTGATCCATCGAGGGTAGGAGAGGATTGTGTGTTTGGAGAGCAGTATTACTTATTAGGGAATATATATATATATATAAAGTTGAAAGGATTCTTTTCTCGTCGTGACATATCATCTTGGAGGGTGCCTCTAAGAGCATCCAACCCCATGCTAAATATGACATATATGCTATTTTGCCATAATTTTTGCTCCAACCCAATTGCATATGCTATTGCAAAATAGCATCATGCTATTTTTGCTTCTATATTTGGCATGAGATTATGCAATATGCTATTTTGCCATTGAACTTTTTTATTTATAAAATAGTCCTTCAATTTGTAATTACTTTTAATTTAACAGTTTAATTATATTGATTATGATTTATTTAAATAAATAAACAATACTCATAACTTTTTCAAAATATAAATAATATTTATTTCATAGAAATATAAAAACATAACCATAATAAACTTAAAATTTTATTTTTAAAAATACTGAAATTCAAAAAACATAAAACAATAGGTTAAAATCTTTGTTTTCTATAATTTTTATGTAATATGATGTATTTTGTTTTAATATTATAATAATAAAAAAAAAAAATATAATTCTGGTTGTTTTTGCAAAAAAGAAAAACAAATGATTCACTTTGTAAAATTTGAAGAAATCAAGTAGTTTTAACAATTAATAATAAGTTGGAAAAAAATTATAGCATGATATATGGCATGAGGGGTTGGAGAGAAACCCAATGCTATTGCTATATTTTTGCCATTTGCAATAACATATGGCATGAGGGGTTGGAGATGGTCTAAATTCGGCACGTCTGTGCAAACAATTTAATATATCATAATTTTTTTCATAATAATTATCATTCATTAAATAGGCTTAGCAAGAATATGAAAAGTCACTTTAAGAAAAAATTATATAAATTTATAAAAACTACTACTCCCTCCGTTTCAAATTAGTTGTCGTTTTGGCAAAATGTATCTGCAAATATTTGGATGTATCTGGACATGTTTTGCATTACAGATACATCCAGATAATGGCAGATACATTTTCCCAAAACGACAACTAATTTGAAACGGAGGGAGTATAATTTAGTAGTTCTCAAGATATTATAGAAATAACATTTTTTTAAGTATTTTGAGACACAATGACACAAGACCGGCATAGCGAGAAGAAAAAAGCAAAACGCGAGAAAAGGGAGATTCTGCCCACTTCTTTTTATATTAAATGACGAGACATGATGTAAAGGAACAAAAACGGATATGATAGGACAAAACGGATATTTCGCCTACCTCTAAATATATTTAGGGACAAAACAAGAAGTGAGGGAAGAAATATGAAGAGACTTGACAAGACGAATAAAAAACAGAATGGGATGTGATGGGAATGGACAAGAAGGGATTAAAAAAACCGGAATGAGACGGGGTTAGACGGGACATGATGAAAAGGGACATAACGGGACAAGAAATAACGGGACGGGACTTTCGCATACCCCCTAATTATATTTAGGGATGGGACATAGATAAGACAAAACGGAAAGAGACATAATAGGATATGATGAGGCTGGACGGGCGGACATGATGAACGGGGCGGGAAAGAACGAGACAAGATGAAAATGAACGGAATGGGACGGGATGGGGCTACACAGGAATTTTGCCTACCCTTAATTATATTTAGGGAACGAGACGAGAAGAAACGAAAGGAATGGGAGAGGACATAACAAAATGGAAAAGAACATAATGGGATATGATGGGATTGGACGAGACGGGATACACAAGATGGACGGATGGAAAAATAGACATGATAAAAATGAACGAAATGAGACAAGATGGGACAAAACTGACGAGAATTTTGCTTAATTCTAATTATATTTAATTATTATGTGTATAATATTTTTAAACAATATTAAATCAGAAAATTAATTCAAATTTGCGAAAACAATAAAATTAGTGCAACAATATAATTAATAGTATATTTTATTTTTCAAGAAAAATAATTAATATAACGGGTTTAAATCAAAATCTCCACAAGTCAAAAGTAATTAAACTGATTTTTTTTTTAATTAAAAAAATTACTATATTTTAAAAAATTATATAAAAAACATTTGTATAACTACTAGTTATAAAGAATTATATAGACCTTAAGGTGAGTTCTTTTTTAACGAACTTAATTTACAAATAAAGTGTAGATTACACCTTAATAACTGAAGAATTGTTATGAGCAAACAAAACCAGGTTTGCAAGAGAGCCGATCTGAACATTACATAAACTATTAATAAAGTAGGAGATATAGACAAAAATGTTAAATGTCATATGATAGAGTATTTGTGTAATTAATCAATTTTGACTTTATTAAAAATTCAAAAATATAATAAGTTTGATCATTTATTTGTAAAAAGGGGGAAAAAAAGAGTGTATGATCATATGTGAAGCAATATATTTCCTCTTCCAAAGAAGATGCATCTGTTAACTTTCCTCTCCTTTACTTTTTAGTTAGTTCTTCCTGAGATCTCATCTTCAAAGCTCCACATCTAAAATGAAATCATCCAGAAATTATGAATAAAAATTGAATTTAGCTACTCCTGGATGACGTTTGAGTTTGCTTCTTCGTCACCCAAATCATAGTCTCTTAATCAAGGAAGGTAAAATTGAGGAAAATAAGAATAAAATAAAATAATGATATGATGATGAAACTCAGAGGTAGATGATGAATTGATGATGATATATTATCAATAAGTTTGTTCTATAAGATAGTTAGGCATATAATACGATTTATTTGTTATAACTTATAAGACCAAGTAAAATGTTTATTTCTAAACCTCAAAATATATAGCTGAAACTGATCCTCTTGGTCTTTGCAGAAGGTGAGAGGATCGGTTTCTTTTCCCCAGCTTCCAGCTTTGAATCTGATCTGCAAGGCTGTACCTAGTTCAAGTATGAATGTTTATATTCTAGAATATAGGACAATCAATCTTGATTGAGAGTAATACTTAAATTTGACGGACAAAAATGTATTCATAGATTGAGATTTAAGAGAAACAATTGCTAATGAAGAACAAATTCTGACATATATAACGAATAAACAAAACTTTACCGCAACTAGTATGCTCTTATTGCCTGGTGCTCTCCCCTACTTCAGAAAACGTTTCCTTGATTTTCCTTGATTTTCAAACGTATAGTGTCTCACACAAGCAATCTGTATATTGTTAATGGTGGGTTTGTCACCCTTTTATTGGGCCGGCCCAGATCCGATCAGAGCCCAACAACAAGGCCAAAAGCCATACTCCAGAAGTTTCTCCACCGCCCAAGGGAAGAAAGGGCGGGCCCCACTACCACGTCATCCATTTTTTTTTAGCTGCCCTAATTGTGTATACTATATAACCAGGATTAGTCTCTGAATATTGTACTTCTGAACAGAATTAATAAGAATCAACCGATCAGAGCGCCGCTGCTTCCTGATCGAATTTCTTCATTTTCTGATTGTTTTCCTTTTTTTCCAAACTCTCTCGCTTTTCCAAGCTTAACTCACTTTATTCACGAAACTCCCGACCTTGTCCAAACAGTTTCTTATTTTACAAAGTCACCGATCTCACCACTCACATATATATGCTTTGGTAACAACATACATTACAACAACACGTCCTCTCTGCTTGTCGTCTTCAACCAAATTGACCAATGCATCTGAAACCGGGGAGACCATTCTAGCTTTAAGAGAGCAGTTCGCCTGTAAGTAATCTACCAAATGTTTCATCAAATGTAATTATAAATAGTGTCGTTTACACCATAGTAATCTATCCGTTATATTTGTTTGTTTAATCTATCCAAATGTTGGGGCTTCCATCACAATTTTTTTTTAGATTCATAGTAATATTATGTTATGCAAGTAACTGAAAGGTGAACAAAAGAATATTATCAAAGAGGTATTTATAGATAAAATCCTACAAAAGATGCGAACTATTTTCTTTCGCTAGACTGTTTTATTATAAGTCTGATTATTAAAATCTGTTATTCCTACTAACATATTTAAAATTTATAGGCTAGGTGACTACGAAAGTGCTCATGCACTGTTTGGTACGACGCAAATAGATAGAATGATGAAATTTGCCCATAAAGAAGAAAAATATAATTTGGCATCTACCATACTCATGGAAGGTAACGCGTGGACAGAAGATCCGGTTCGTGGTGCGTTTGGAAAGCTGTGAAAGCTCATGTGGCAGATTCAGTCACGTAAGGCCTACGTTGACGAACTGAATGAGAAGATTAAGCATGAAAAAACAAAGACCAACTAAATCAACTCTTAATCAAAAATATTATATATTTTATATCAGTTATTTGTATTTTTTTTAATTTATATAATAATGGCTCATTGTTTAATGATATCGAAACTGGAAATTTGAAATGCATTGTTGAGTTTAAAATCCAAATGAATTTGTTAGTTGATCTGTCTAGTGTGGTTAGCGTTATGTTTTAGGTAAATAATGAATGTTATTTAGGGCATCTCCAATGTATTGCCCCATATTTGACTCCAAAATGAAGAAATCTCAAAATGGAGTTGAGTTTTGCTCCAATGTATTGCCTCATTTTTTACTTCAAAACTTTTTATTAATTACTAAATTTACATTGTATATTTATATATATTACAAATTGCCCCTATAATTTTTTTCTTCAAAACTTTCACAATTTATTATAGTTATTTAAATTAATTATGAAAATATTAATAATACATTATTACAAGACTAAAAATAACAACACAAACTGAATTTTATTTTTAATTAGAACCATTTGAATAGTTGTTTTAATAAATTTTTTTTGATGTTATTTCTAATAAAAATATTTTTCCTTTCTTTTTAAATTTATTATTA